TGTGAGGCCTACTAAACTGATTGCTTCTTAACTGAAAAGGGTCACAACTTCTGGATTGTAGGTAACTAGAGCTAGACGAGTCTCTCTCGACACCAGCTTAGACAGATTGTCTCTCTCAGTCCTTCTGTAGGGTAATACCCAAGTTTTAGGGACTTTCCGGACCCGTTAGGTGGAGAGCTGGTCAGTAGTCAGCCCAAAGGAGTTGTGAGGGTTAGGGCGGGGCTGGCTATTGCGTAGTAACCAACAAATGGTAAGGTTGAGAGAAATCAAGGCAAAGAAAACTCAGTAAATGCTTGTAGGGCCCTCCAGACATTCAGGAGGGCCTGAATGTCATCCACCATCATCTAGCAAATATCGCAAGCACAAGCCCCCCCCATAAATAACAAATTTTCCGGACTATAAGTCGTTCCGGAGTATAAAATGCATAATAAAGAAGAAAAATACATATATTGGTCACACTGGAGTATAAGTCGCATTTTTGAGGAAAATTTATTTGATAAAGTCCAACACCAAGAACAGACAATGTCATCTTGAAAGGCAATAAAAATAGAATAGAGGCAACAACAGGCTGAATAATTGTACGGCATGCTAACGTTACATGACACATAAATAACGAACTGAGAACATGCCTGGTATGTTAACGTAACATATTAAGAGTTATGCAGATAACTATAGCATAAATAACATGCTAACAGGTTTACCAAGCCAATCGTGTCACTCCAAACTATGAAAAAAACTGTGACTTATTGTTTGGAAAATACGGTAATTGAATTGTAATACAAACCATAGACATAAACTTGTAGCATTCATTTATTGAGAATGAGAGTGCTATTAAATTTTATTTAATGCATTCAGCAGAGAAAAAAAAGTACATTTAGGATTTAAATAGGAAGGTGACCGATTAGGAGAACAGTGAGGTGCATCGCGGTTACAATAGTGGTACCGTTTCTTTATATCGGAATGTCTCATATAAAGACAGACATTCTTTATATCTGTCGGTCGGACCGACTCAGACTTCATTTAGTCCAGCACTGTGGCAGCCTGATAAAATTAAAGTTAGTAGTTTTCTCTGCAGCCCGCCACTTTCTTTCTGATGGCTATAAAAGTTTCAAGCTTTGTGTTAATTCATTTGCTGAAGAAAATTATGTACAGTTAGGGCCAGAAATATTTGGACAGTGACACAGGTTTTGTTATTTTAGCTGTTGACAAAAATATGTTCAGAAATACAATTTATATATAGTATGGGCTGAAAGTGCACACTCCCAGCTGCAATATGAGAGTTTCCACATCCAAATCGGAGAAAGGGTTTAGGAATCATAGCTCTGTAATGCAGAGCCTCCTCTTTTTCAAGGGACCAAAAGTAATTGGACAATGGACTCTAAAGGCTGCAAGTAACTCAAAAGGCCTTTCCCTCGTTAACCTGTAATCAAGTAAGTAGTTAAAAGGTCTGGGGTTGTTTCCAGGTGTGTGGTTTTGCATTTGGAAGCTGTTGCTGTGACCAGACAACATGCGGTCAAAGGAGCTCTCAATTGAGGTGAAGCAGAACATCCTGAGGCTGAAAAAAAGAAAAAATCCATCACAGAGATAGCAGACATGCTTGGAGTAGCAAAATCAACAGTCGGTTACATTCTGAGGAAAAAGGAATTGACTGGTGAGCTTGGGAACTCAAAAAGGCCTGGGCGTTTACGGAAGACAACGGTGGTGGATGATCACCGCATACTTTCTTTGGTGAAGAAGGACCCGTTCACAACATCAACTGAGGTCCAGAACACTCTCAGGGAAGTAGGTGTATCTGTCTCTAAGTCACAGTAAAGAGAAGACTCCATGAAAGCAAATACAAAGGGTTCACATGTAGATGCAAACCATTCATCAATTCCAAAAATAGACAGGCCAGAGTTAAATTTGCCCAAAAACACCTCAAGAAGCCAGCCCAGTTCTGAAAAGTATTCTATGGACAGATGAGACAAAGATCAACCTGTACCAGAATGATGGGAAGAAAAAAGTTTGGAGAAGAAAGGGAACGGCACATGATCCAAGGCACACCACATCCTCTGTAAAACATGGTGGAGGCAACGTGATGGCATGGGCATGCATGGCTTTCAATGGCACTGGGTCACTTGTGTTTATTGATGACATATCAGCAGACAAGAGTAGCCGGATGAATTCTGAAGTGTACCGGGATATACTGTCAGCCCAGATTCAGCCAAATGCTGCAAAGTTGATCGGACGGCGCTTCACAGTACAGATGGATAATGACCCCAAGCATACAGCCAAAGCTACCCAGGAGTTCATGAGAGCAAAAAGGTGGAATATTCTGCAATGGCCAAGTCAATCACCAGATCTTAACCCAATTGAGCATGCATTTCACTTGCTCAAATCCAGACTTCAGACGGAAAGACCCACTAACAAGCAAGACCTGAAGGCTGCGGCTGTAAAGGCCTGGGAAAGCATTAAGAAGGAGGAAACCCAGCGTTTGGTGATGTCCATGGGTTCCAGACTTAAGGCAGTGATTGCCTCCAAAGGATTCACAACAAAATATTGAGAAAAAACTTTTTTGTTTGGGTTATGTTTATATGTCCAATTACTTTTGAGCTCCAAAAATGTGGAGTGTTTGTAAACAAATGTGTACACTTCCTACATTTTCTATCACATATTTTTGTTCAACTCTTTAAATTAAACGTTACAATCTGCACTTGAATTCTGTTGTAGAGGTTTCATTTCAAATCCAATGCGGTGGCATGCAGAGCCCAACTCACGAAAATTGTGTTACTGTCCAAATATTTCTGGCCCTAACTGTATCTGAAAATAAATTAAAATATATTGTGTGGGAAAAAATGTCATGCAAACCACATATGTGTAACTTCAAATCAAATCAAAAATTAAATCAAATTTTATTTGTATAGCACATTTCAGCAGCAAGGCATTTCAAAGTGCTTTACATCATAAACATAAAAGCACACTAGCAGCAGCGTTCTGGATCAGCTGCAGCTGTTTGATTGATTTGTTGGACAGGCCTGTGAAGACGCTGTCACAATAATCAACAACAAGTTTCGGGCCTGATCGCTAGATTTTAGTTGTAATAACTGAAGCTGTGCATTGACTCTAGATCGTTCCTCTTTAGGTCCAAAAATAATTATTTCAGTTTTGTTTCTGTTCAGCTGGAGAAAGTTTTGGCACATCCACACATTTATCTGTTCTAAACATTTATTCAGTGATTGGATGGGATCAGAGTCACCTGGTGACATCGTAATGTAGAGCTGTGTGTCATCCGCATAGTTATGGTAGCTAATATTATTTCCTGTTATAACCTGAGCTAGTGGAAGAATATAAATATTGAATAAGAGGGGTCCTAGGATTGAACCTTGGGGTACCCCACATGTGACCTTTGACCTCTTTGATGAGAAGTTTCCAATTGAAACAAAGAAATCCCTGTTCTTTATGTAAGATTCAAGCCAGTAGAGCACCGAACCGGAGAGTCCAACCCAACTCTCCAGTCGATTCAGTAAAATGTCATGGTCGACAGTGTCAAAAGCTGCACTGAGGTCCAACAGAACTAGCACCATGGTTCTCCCACAGACTGTATTTATATGGATATCATTGAATACTTTTACGAGGGCAGTCTCCGTACTGTGATGAGCACAAAAACCAGATTGGAAAGTGTCAAAGCAATTGGTCATCATGAGGAAACAATGTAATTGTTTACACACAGTTTTCTCAATAACTTTGCTGATGAATAGGAGGTTTGAGATTGGCCTATAATTTTGCAGTAGAGATTTGTCAATCAAAATTGGTGACATTTGACAGGCAAAAAATCTTTCTGATTCCATAAACAATATGTTACCAGTGACTTCTCTCACTTCAGGGTGAGATGCACAACAAACGAGATATTTAATTTAATGTTGGCCTTAGTATCTCGTCTATTTCATGTGTATTGAGTTTTAATAAGCGCCACATAAACTGTTTTTGTTGTCCAACTTTTACTGTCGAGTCTTTCAGATCTTCGCATGGCTGCCCGCATTAACTCTGGCTGACAAAGTAGACAAAGCATTTGGTATGGTTGATAGTGTAACCACAAAAATAATACTACTAGTAAAATACTATAAAACCAGTGTGATGTGTGACTACAAGACGAGCGCGAAAGCTCCTCATAGGGCTGAACCTCCATGAGTGGTTAGTGCTAGTTCGTTAACAATTAACGCACCAGCTAATGAGGACCACATACATACAGGGAAGACACAGCCAGGCGCTGTAAGTCACTAACATTGGTTATGTTAGCCCAGCTTTACTTTTGAGGCCGATGTTAAAACATGACAACTGCCAAACTTTAATGCTGACATATTGTGCATTCCTATTTGAAATTACTCTGTTCAGTCAACGATCTAAAGCTCTAAACTGAAGTGGTTGGAGGTTGGTTAGTAAAGTTAAAGACAGGAGCAAAGCTAAATGACATTGAATCACAAAATAATTTCTGGACAAGCAGAATAATGAGTTGCAGAATATCTCTCACAGAATGGATTGTGTGTAGTGTGTTCTTTAAAAAAACAACACCCATCCAGTAGAGGAAACTAAAATACAAACATCTCAAAAAGATCCATCTATTGCAAAGAAAAAAACTGCAAGAAACCAAAACTAAAAGCAAAATGTAAAACTTCCAGGAAGCCTGAAGAGCTTTCATCTTGAAGCTGCAGAAGAGAAACATTAAGACACAAGGGATGACTCAGCAGTTTTGCAGGGCACCGTATTTGTATTTAACGGTAAAAGGAAAGACTCCACTTCTCCAAAGATGACAAAAATCCACCTGTTTCCCGACGCGTCATGAGGAGCTGGAAATGATTTAGTTGGAAAGCTTTTATGCATTTTGGAATAAATACATATAAGCATTTATTCCAAACAATTGTGCTGAGTTTGCAAAGCATGGGCCTTATCTGCACCGGAAAGAGGTAAAGCATAGATATACATGGCACTACCAGTAAACCCTAAAACAAAATTCAGCATCTTACCAAATAAACTCCGTGTGCAGCGTGCACCATCGCTGGCCCTTTCCAGCCTGGCCTGGCCCTTCTGTAATCCTGTTTTGATTAATCAGATCTGCCAGCCAATTCCCACTGCCATTACGCAACACATAGCGATCCAAGAAGACCAGCTGGCTCTCTGGCCCGTAGAACCAGTTGTAGTTAGAATCTGCGATGGCCACTGTCCGCTGAAATCCTGGTGGGAGGATTAAAAGAGAGACAGAACTTTAGGCACAACAAAAAGGCAAAGTGGAAAAAAAAGTCAATTTAAAAATTTCTTTAAACAATATGTGGCTTTGTGGATTACAACAGTGATCTACAAAGGGATCCTTAGAAAATACACAGACTGTGGTCACAAGGATGATTTTGTTCACACTGTTCTGTACGTTGCAATTATGTCAGAAAACCCATAGTTTCTGGTGCTGACAGCATTTTTTGAAACAATTATAACAACTGCAGCATGTAATCAGAATCATTCCTTTCTCTATGAAACAAGTATGTTATGAAGTAGTTTGTGGATGAGGATTGAGAGACCATTATTAAACATTAGTTAAATAATGTGTTTAATGTACACCATGTTCCAAATTATTATACAAGTGGTCTTTTCTCAGATTTTCTTAAATGGTCAATGCAAATGATGGTCAGTAAAATTTTCAAGTTATGAACTATTACAGTATAACTAAAATTTTACTACCTATGAGAATAGTATTTTTTTTTCAAAACTAAAAAAACTCAGAATGCACTGTTCCAGATTATTATGCACAGCAGATTTTAAATAACTGTAAATGTTGATTCTTTGAATGTGCAGCATTAAGTGGTCACATGTACTAAAATCAAAAGCTATTTCAATCAAAAACATCTTAGCACACCGAGTTACATGTTGACATAGGACCCCTTCTTTGATATCGCCTGCACAATTCTTGCATCCATTGAACTTGTGAGTTTGTGGATAGTTTCTGCTTGAATTTCTTTGCAGGATGTCGATTACCTTCCCAGTGCTGCTGTTTTGATAGGAACTGCATTCCACCCTCAGGTCTTTTGCTTGAGGAAACTCCAGAGGTTGTCAATAGGGTTGAGGTCAGAGGAGGATGGTGACCACACAATGAGTTTCTCCCCTTTTAATCCCATAGCAACCAATGACAGTGGTATTCCTTGCAGCATGAGAGCATCTTCATGCATTGTCATGCAGCTTCAAAATAACTGTTTGCTGCTTTGTAAGATGCTCTCAATGAATTTGTCTAACAGAAACCTTCTTTATTATGGCTTTATCTGTACAATCCCATCTTTGTTCTGAATCAGCCACAAATCTCTTCAAAGTACGATGATAACGCATCAGTTTTTGTTAAATATCTAATGTTTTCATACCTTGTCATACGGGACTACACTATCTGATGATTTTTGTCAGCAGTCAGAGCCTTTCTCTGTCTCATATTGCTTGGCCTGCTTAATAATGTGGAACATCCTTCTTAAGTAGATTTCCTTTAGTTGAGATCACCATACAAACTAATCAACCCAGCTCTCTGAAATTAATTATATTGATTCAAAGGACCCTGACACACAAAAACATCTATAAATTTAAGAGCACAACAAAAAATTTAATCTTTATGACACTTAAATCCAATTTGCATAATAATTTGGAACACAGTGTAGTTCCTCAAGGAACAACACACTAGAACAACAGGTGAGCAATGTAGACTGAACACAAACTCAATGATAATGACAAAAAGACAATGACTAGGATCCAGCAGGGAAACAAAGAACAGATGAGGTTAAATACACAGGGGATTGTCAGGAGAACAAGACTCAGTTGGAAACAATAAGAGGCTAGACATGACAGCACAGGGACTAAATTAACAAATAAATTTACATAAAGTATGATTGCAATAAGCAACAGAAAAAGTAGAAGAAATACATAAAAACCCATCAGGCAGATTTGACCAGAAATCTATTTCTCCACAGATTTAACGCAGACCCTGAAAACCAGACCCAAATGTTTGACAGTAGCAGATTCCATTGTCGATGTAACACAGCTGTACTTTATTTGTTTATTCCATTTTGTTTGCATTTCTGTTTTGTTTTTATTTCATGGATATTGTGTCCCTTTAAGAGGCAAGTGCATTACTTTACGGCAGCCTTTCAATTGCAATTACTAGGGGAATTCCTGGGCTTCATACTTTCAGAGTTGCTGCAGAGCTGAGACATGCCAGACTCTGCCTACCTTCTCTATATCACCTGGCTTCTTAGTTCCTCATAATATGTTTTCCTGCTAGTTGAGCAATATTGGTGATTTGTAGTGTCGTATTTATTATAATTTTTACGTGCTAAGTAGACTATAATGCGGTAATGGCTTAAAAACCGAACTCGTGTTTGAGTTAAAATTACTTTTGTTAGTCACGATTGTAAAGTTAGTCATGGTAAGTGAAATATTTAATTTTCATCAATGTTCAAGAGGTGCTCATTATTTTATGGAGTTATATCTTTGTCATAAAGAACATTAAACTTTGTTTTAAATTGGACCCCATTGCAGTTGCTAGGGTAATTCCTGGGTAATTCCCTGGCTTGAGAATTTCAGAGCTGTTGCAGAGTTTAAACATGCCAGTCTCTGCCAACCTTCGCCAGATTGCTTGACTTCTTTGTACCTGGTAATATATCTTCCTGCTAGTGCATTATTATGAACAAAAGTCAGCAAGAGAAACATTGATGAAGTGTACGTTTGCCTGTGGAGGAAGAGCGAGAAACTGCTCTGTCATCTTTGGACAGCAGATGACCTCGCATCTGTCGTCCACAGATGCTGGGTCTGGGACCCAGCAGTCGTCTGACTTGGATGGCGTGATTCTGGGTCGCCATCCCAGTCAGATCTTTTTCATCTATTTTTTGTATGAACAAGACACATGCACACACACGCGCACACACGCACACACACACACACACACACACGCACACACACACACACACACACACACACACACACACACACACCTTAGTAACGGAGACTTGAGAGACACTGAGGGGCGGAGACTCGGGAACACTGTGACCACTAGGAAGCTCGGAGAAGCAACTAGGAAAAGGCTTGAGAAGAACACAGGGGATACACCCACTAACTAGGGCAGAGAACCCACTAATAGGAGGTGGAGCAGAGGGCTCCAGACACGGAGGTGCTGCAGCAGGCTCTGTAGAGGTGGCTGAAGGTGTGGAGGGCACAGGAGCTGGAGGCGGAGGTGACACCGGCTCTGGAAACGCTGGGGCTAGAAATCAGACAGCCCCAGAGATGCAGGAGCGGTGGTGGAGAGGAAGAATGGGACGTCCAGTTTGGGAGGCAGAGTCTCGCCAGCCATGAAGGCTAGAGTTGCCTGGCGTTCCTACTCTGCCTCCTGCTGCAGGTCCACCAATCCTAAGGACGGGAGCTTGGTAGACCAGTTCTCGAGGCGTTTCTATGCAAAATATGGTTTCGCCTTAGTCTCTAGATAATAGTGGATATTAAATCATTCCATTGAATAGGGTCCATGGTGTTAGTTTTCTTCTCTTATTGCGTGCCTCACCGTAGTTACTTATGGTCGGGTCCTTCTGTCATGTAGTGACAAGTAGTGAGGCAGCAGGCAGTAAACCCAGGATGAGATCAAGGAAGGTAATTTTAATGATGAAAACCAGTACAAAATCCAGGCGTCACAGCTGAGGGGAAGCCAGGGCTCAACACTGGTAGCAACTGGAACCAAAGGATGGACAGACAGAATAGAAACATGCAACGACATACATCAAGGACCCAAGGAGGAACAAAGGTCACAGGTGGGATTAAATACACAAAGGGTAATCACGGAGACGAGACACCTGGGAGTAATCAAGGGGAGACAGGACAGCACAGAGACTCAGAAAACTCAAAATAACACAGAGAAAAACTCAAATCATGACATCTGCCCGACTTTTGGCAGCGACAGAAGAGCAGTAAATGAGATATTTATCATAACATATCTAGCTACTTCTATCCATGCTATGATTATCAATTTTAAGCGATGTTATTGTGCAACTATCAACACAAGTTAGCAATATAAATTAGTAAGGTGTTGTACTGAGCTATGCTAGCACTTCTGCAAGCTAATATCGTCAGGCTTTGTGAATCTCATCCCATGCTTTTGTGAATTATGAGACAGTTTTATCTCCAAAGAATACTATAATCTGAGTAGCTTTTTGAACTTGTGCAAATAGTTTTACTCCACTGTACTTTTTTCTTTTAACTGAGTAATGCTATTACTACTCTTGAGAATATTGATTTTGCATTTAAAGAAATTGTTTATGCAAATTTGAGCATAATTTCTCAACATTTATCACATGTCACTGTTTACATTCTTGTTTATTTTGTACTAATAAGGATGGTTATTTTATTTGAAAAGTCACAGAAAATGACAGAAAGTAAAAGCTTATTTACTCTGACAGAGATCTGTATGTGACTTTCCAGTGGAAAAGCTCCTTCAGGGTTCATTCACGTCTATTACACCTTATTTAGCTGCTTTAAGCAAACTCCAGTTTGTTTGTCTAGAAAGTTGTTTGTTTGAGGACGTGTGAATGCAAAATAACATTCTGAAACGAACCAAAAAAGCAAACTGTGTCCACCTTAAAAGCTAGGTCTCAGTTTGGTTGAAGTGAACTCTGGTGCAGTTCATATGCAAATGTGAATCAGACCAGGAGCAGACGAGAGACCCCTCCTCAAAGCACTCCACTGGCTTTTTGTACTCACCATCTCTGACTGCATAGAATTTCTGCAGATGACAGAATGTTTACACATGCAGAGTGAAAATGAATGGTGAGAGTACAGGTCCCTGTGGTGTTCCTGTGATACTGACAACCTTATTAGATGTTTTAGTATTTTAGGAATGTTTAGATCAATTAATATTCATATGCTAAAATGGTTCAAAGTCCAGAAATAAATCCAATTCAGAATCTTTGGCAAGATATTTAGAGTGCTTCTCCAACCAATCACAATGAACTGATTTGTAAAGAACTTCTTCAAATGTCAATGTGTGAATGCTGGTGGTGAAATGCCACAAATCAGTTGTTATAGCACTGAAAAGAGATACATCCACATATTTCTGTTACCAGATATATATACTGCTCAAAAAATAAAGGGAACACTCAAACAACACAATATAACTCCAAGTAAATCAAACTTCTGTGAAATCAAACTGTCCACTTAGAAAGCAACACTGATTGACAATCAATATCACCTGCTGTTGTGCAAATGGAATAGACAAACAGGTGGAAATTATTTCATATTTATTTAATTCATTCAGATATAGGATGTGTTATTTGAGTGTTCCCTTTATTTTTATGAGCAGTATATATATATATATATATATATATATAATATATATATATATATATAATAGCTGACTGGATAGCTCAATACATAAGGCATCAGTATATCACCCGAGAGGGCAGGGTTCGAATCCAGTCTGGGTCCTTAGGCAAGACCCTTCAAGCTACTGCCTACCTCATACCATGAGAGATACTAAGTTGCATAACATGCCGGCTCAGACGTCGCCCGGCCAAACAAGGTCTGCGTCAGGTGTTGGGGAACCAGAGCACCTTGATGACAAATGGGCTACTGGAACAAGACGGAAATGGGCGAGAGATGAAAATGTGGATCTGTTGGAATGCTACTACTCAAGTAACCCTAGTGAGAGAGGTTACATGCAAAGACTGGGGAAGGAATGGTTACTTCGACATCCCCAGTCAACACTAAGCGCTAAACAACTAGTAGCTCAGTGTTCCAACATCCGCAAACGGCAACTGCTATCACAACTTGAGATTGACGAGATACAACACAAATGCTACGGCAAAAGGGAGGAACCCGGATGTCAGGACTGTGGGGACTTAACTACAAGTCCCCACCCAGTGAGGGGATACACGGCCCCAATGAGCGAAACAGAGCTGAACGAGACAGCTGCTGACCTGAGAGAGAGAATCATGACCCGAATGACAACCAGGCCTCCCCGGCGCCAATTACAACGGCTGAGTGAAGTACCATCAGAAAGTCTCATTGAGAATGTGAATGCAGCATTGAGAACGATCCCTACCAACACCATAACAGAAACCAATGAGCTGATCTACAACTCAGCATCAGTGATCCTTGAGATACTTGGCTATAAGAGCAACCATGAGACCCAATACCCACCATGGAAAAGACGGTTAGAGGCTAAAATCAAGGTAACAAGGAGGGAAGTGAGCCAACTGTCAGAGCTCCACAAGGGTGCAATGAAAAGACCAGTACCCAGAAAGTACAGCCAGATGCCCATACCTGAAGCACTCGAGACTGCCAAACAGAGGCTCCAAGCCTTGGCCAGCCGCCTAAAGAGATACACAAGGGAGAATGAATCCAGAAGGATTAACCGGCTCTTCTCCACTCAACCAGCTAAGGTGTACTCTCAATGGCAGGGTAACAATAACAACAGAGCAGACCCACCAAGGCTGGAGACTGAACAATACTGGAAAGGCATATGGGAAATGGAGGCGTCCCACAACAGCAATGCACAGTGGCTGATCTCTCTACGAGAGGACCACAGCAACCTCCCTGAGCAAGCCCCGGTAACCATCACTGTGACAGATGTCCAAGAAAGAGACTCAGGTATGAAAAACTGGACAGCACCAGGGCCTGACATGATCCATGCCTACTGGCTAAAGAAACTCACTGCTCTCCATGAGCGAGCCCAATGAACCAGCTGCTACAAAGTGGGACTCACCCTGTGGTTAACTGAAATGGCTGAAATCCTAATCCAGAAGGATCCATCAAAGGGTCCAGTCCCACCCAACTACCGACCAATAACCTGCCTCTCCACAACCTGGAAGCTCATGTCAGGCATCATAGCGGCCAAGATAAGCAAACACATGGATAAACACATGAGCACGGCACAGAAGGGTATCGGTGTAAATACCAGAGGAGCCAAACACCAACTCCTCGTAGACCGCACAGTTGCCCGAGACTGCAAAACCCGACACACCAACCTGTGCATGGCTTGGATTGATTACAAGAAAGCCTATGACTCAATGCCGCATACTTGGATCATTGAATGCTTAGAGATGTATAACATCAACAGGACTCTGAGAGCCTTCATTGCAAACTCGATGAGGCTGTGGAAAACCACCCTTGAAGCCAACTGCAAACCACTTGCACAAGTGTCCATCAAATGTGGCATATACCAAGGAGATGCTCTGTCCCCGCTACTGTTCTGCATAGGCCTGAACCCCCTCAGCCAAGTTATCAACAAGACTGGCTACGGATACAGACTCAAAAATGGGGCCAATATCAGTCACCTACTCTACATGGATGACATCAAGCTGTACGCCAAGTGTGAGCGAGACATCGACTCACTGATCCACACCACCAGGATCTACAGCACTGACATTGGGATGTCATTCGGACTAGAGAAATGTGGTCGGCTGGTCACAAAGAGGGGGAAGGTCATCCACACAGAAGGGGTCTCACTCCCACAAGGAACAATAGCAGACATAGAGGACAGTTACAAGTACCTAGGTATACCACAAGCAAATGGCAACCTCGATGAGGCCACAAGGAAAGGAGCCACAGCTAAATACCTCCAACGAATAAGGCAAGTCCTGAGAAGCCAGCTCAATGGCAAGAACAAAATCCGTGCGATAAACAGCTATGCCTTGCCAGTAATCAGATACCCTGCTGGAATAATCAGCTGGCCAAAGGAGGAGATGAAAGCCACAGATATTAAGACTAGAAAGCTACTAACCATGCATGGAGGGTTCCATCCCAAATCCAGCACCCTGAGACTGTACACGAGCCGCAAGGACGGAGGCAGAGGACTAGTGAGTGTGAGAACCACTGTCCAGGACGAAACAACTAAGATCCATAAATACATCAGGGACAAAGCCTCAACAGACAATGTGCTCAGTGAATGTCTCAGACAACAGGGAACGGAGGTTGAGGTGCCAGAGATACCATCATGGGAGGACAAGCCCCTACATGGGATGTACCACCAGCAAATAACCCAAGTGGCTGATATCAGTAAATCCTACCAATGGCTGGAAAAAGCTGGACTCAAGGACAGCACAGAGGCCCTCATCCTGGCCGCCCAGGAACAGGCCCTAAACACCAGAGCAATAGAGGCCCAGATCTACCACACCAGACAAGACCCAAGGTGTAGGTTGTGCAAGGAGGCCCCTGAGACAGTCCAGCACATCACAGCAGGGTGCAAGATACTGGCAGGGAAAGCGTACATGGAGCGACATAACCAAGTGGCAGGCATAGTGTACAGAAACATCTGTGCAGAATATGGACTGGAAACCCCGAGATCAAAGTGGGAAACACCCCAAAGGTGGTGGAGAACGCCAGAGCTAAGATCCTGTGGGACTTCCAGATCCAGACAGACAAAATGGTAATGGCGAACCAACCAGACATTGTCGTAGTGGATAAACATCAGAGGAAAGCCGTTGTGGTAGATGTAGCAATACCAAGTGATTGCAACATCAGGAAAAAGGAGCACGAGAAACTGGAGAAATACCAGGGCCTCAGGGAAGAACTGGAGAGGGCCTGGAAGGTGAAGACCACAGTGGTGCCTGTGGTCATCGGGGCCCTCGGGGCAGTAACCCCCAAACTGGAGCAGTGGCTACAACAGATCCCAGGAACAACATCAGACATCTCAGTCCAGAAATGTGCAGTCCTTGGCACAGCCAAGATACTGCGCAGAACCCTCAAGCTCCCAGGCCTCTGGTAGAGGACCCGAGCTCAGAGGATAAGAACCACCCGCGGTGGGTGAGAAGGGAATTTTTTTTTTTTTTTATATATATATATATCTCACATGTCACTATATATATATATAATTTACTATACCCTATGTTTTGTTGGTCCATTACATGAAATCTGTACTGACATTGTCGAAGCATGAGAACTTTTCTCAGGGTACAAAGTACAAAATAGATTGTATTCTAAAATTATTTCAGATTTTCACCCAGTTACCTGGTAGGATGGTCCTGTAGAGGAAGGCAAAGTGCTTCAGTAGCCAAGGATGGCTGAAGTGGCCGATGGCAAAGTGGCGCTGCACAAGAAACATGTACTGGAATAGGGAACGGGTGGTGTAAGTCCCATAGGCCACACCCTCATAAAGAGAACCATCTGTCACGTCCTGCAGAAGGACCATAGACTTCTCCATGATGGACAGGACTTGCTTTGTCCACAGGTAGGCTTCCTGAAGGTAACCTAGAACGCATTACAACAGGACATCTGAGTTTCAACAATAGTTATAAATCAAATAAAATTTTATTTGTATGGCACATTTCAGCAGCAAGGCATTTCAAAGTGCTTTACATCATAAACACAAGAACACAAAGTCATACAAAATATAATAGACAATACATTGTTACATATTACATTTCAACAATTCTAAACAAGTGTGTTTTTAGTTGCGATTTAAAGGAAGTCAGAGTTTCAGCTGGTTCACAGTTTTCTGGAAGTTTGTTCCAAACTTTGGTGCATAAATGCTGAAAGCTGCTTCTCCTCTCTTGGTTCTTTTTCTGGGGATGCAAAGCAGTCCAGAACCAGAAGATCCGAGAGGTCTAGAAGGTTGATACAAAAACAGCAGATCTTTAATGTATTGTGGTGCTAAACCGTTCAGTGATTTGTAAACTAACAACAGTATTTTAAAATCTATTCTTGGAGCTACAGGGAGCCAGTGGAGGGACTTTAAAACTGGTGTTATGTCTCTATCTTCCTGGTTTTAGTGAGAACAGGAGCAACAGCTTCTGGATCAGCAGCTTCTGGATCAGCTGCAGCTGTTTGATTGATTTGTTGGACAGGCCTGTGAAGACGCTGTTGCAATGATCAATGCGACTAAAGATAAACGCATGAATGAGTTTCTCTAGATCTGGCTGAGACATTAGTCCTCTAATCCTGGAGATGTTGTTCAGGTGATAGAAGGCCGACATTGTAATTGTCTTTATGTGGCTCGCAAGGTTCAAGTCCAAGTCCATCACTACTCCCAGGTTTTAGGCCTGATCGCTGAAGCTGTGCATTGACTCTAGATTGTTCCTCTTTAGGTCCAAAAATAATGACTTCAGTTTTGGTTTTGTTCAGCTGGAGAAAGTTTTGGCACATCCACACATTTATCTGTTCTAAACATTTATTCACCTGGTGACATCGTAATGTAGAGCTGAGTATCAGCCGCATAGTTATGGTAGCTAATATTATTTCCTGTTATAACCTGAGTTAGTGGGAAAATATAAATATTAAATAAGAGGGGTCCTAAGATTGAACATTGGGGTACCCCACATGTGACCTTTGACTTCTTTGATGAGAAGTTTCCAATTGAAACAAAGAAATCCCTGTTCTTTATGTAAGATTCAAACCAGTCAAGCACCGAACCGGAGAGTTCGACCCAACTTTCAAGTCGATTCAGTATTATGTCATGGTCGACAGTGTCAAAAGCTGCACTGAGGTCCAACAGAACCAGCACTGTGGTTCTCCCACAGTCCGTATTTATATGGATATCATTGAATACTTTTACGAGGGCAGTCTCCGTAATGTGGTGAGCACGAAAACCAGATTGGAAAGTGTCAAAGCAGTTGGTCATCATGAGGGAACTATTTAATTATTTACACACAGTTTTTCAATAACTTTGCTGATGAATGGGAGGTTTGAGATGATATGAGTTATATGTGTGGGTAGGACATCCAGACAGCAAGAGCTTGCCTCCTTGCATGTTTTAGTGTTGAGTGATAGTTACGTAGTCTTTCTTTATAGATGTCATTATGAACGTGAAGTTGAGTTTTACGCCATTTTTGTTCTGCCCTGCGACAGAGTTGTCTTACAGGTCGAACTGTTTGTTCTTTTCTCCATGGAGATTTCTTCCTACCAGACACCTTGATTTAATTTGGGCAATGGAATCAATGATATATGAAACTTTAGACTGAAAATCATCTACCAACTTATCTACATCATTACAGCTTAAGGGTGAGGAGGAAGAGTAGATTTGATTAAATGTTTCTGCTGTGTTTTCTGTGAAAGAAAGTTTTGTGACAGTAGTTGTTTGTCCAAGTGGGTCAAAGAATAAACAACTTTCAGAGATAACAGCAAATTGATCCGACAGTGCGACATCAGTTGCAGAGATATTGGAAATATTCACACCCTTACTGATAACCAGGTCCAGTGTGTGTCCTTGAGTGTGTGTTGCTTGTTTGACATGTTGTGTTAAACCAAAATTTTCTAAAACATTAGAGAGCTTCTTTGCCCCTCTGTCTTCGGGTTTGTCCACATGAATGTTGAAATAACCAACAATTATTAAACAATCATAATCAATGCATTTGAGAGATAGAAGATCATTCAAGTCAGTAAAGAAATTTTCCACATATGTTGGAGTTTTGTATAAAGTTAGAGTCAAGTTTGTTTGTAGCCTTTAACCTGAATTCCAAAATACTGAAGATGTAAAATGACCCAAGAGATCTAACTACAATTTATGGTTTTCTTAAATATAGAAGTCACGCCTCCTCCTTTTTTATGTTTTCTATTCTCACTTAAAAAATTGTTGTTTAGGAGGCGCTGATTCAATTAGCACAATTTGGTCATTATCGTCATTCAACCATGTTTCTGTCAGAAACATAACATCAACATTATACTCAGTGATGAAATCATTAATTAATAGAGCTTTAGCACAGAGTGATCTGGTATTTAAAAGAGCTACTTTAAGTGGCTTGGAGGCAGAAAGATTTTCAGTGTGAGGTTTGAAATAGGACAGCTGTATCATTTTCTGTTTTTTGTAAATTTTCTTGTAGTGATCCGGACAGGTAATGTCCTGTTCTGCAGTACCCGGGGGCCAGACACATTCTGGCAGAAGACGGGTGTAAAGATAATATCTGGTCCTCGGCCTCAGACCTCAGAAACGCAGAGTGATGGATCTGGGGGCAGGTAGCTTAAATGAAGTGAGGTCTGCTATGTGAGAGCTAAGGACAGACGTGCCAAAGTGAACCTGTTGATTCATTCCATCTGTAAAGTTAAGAAACTCTGGTCCGGAAGACATTTCTTCATTGGTATCTATTGAATCCTGTGAATGATTGGAGGAGCAGAGAGGGAGGGGGGAAGGAGGGAGGGAAGCAGTCGCTCCATCTCCAGTAGATTTATCAGCTTGTTTTGGAATATCATGCTGTTGATACGGGGAGCGTTCCATCCTAGTCAGACATCCTTGAGCCTGTTCTTCTGACGCGATGATCCTGTTGCTGTCCTTGTTGATAAAATAAAAAAGGTTTGCAGCGAGTATCCCATGTTTATTAAGATTGCGTCCTCCTCTTCCAAAAAAAAGCTGCCAATAGATCCAGAGGTTATCGATGAAGGTCACTGAGCTGGTAGAGCAGGTTTTAATCAGCCATTTGTTTATCGTGAGCAGCCTGGAGTGTTTTTCATCTCCCCAATGAGGTAATGGAATTGGACCACTGAGAAATAACTTCATTTTTAATTTTCCCATAGTGTTCAGAAGAATGTTAAAGTCCTTTTTCAGAATCTCAGACTTTTGCTTTGCCAGATCGTTGGCTCCAACATGGACAACTAAAGTCTCAATATCTGGCTGATCAGTGGTTAGAGAGAGCAGTTTGTTGGTTAAATCAGATACAGTGTCACAATGAAAATACATCACTCTTGTTTTCCTTGGATTGCAAACGTCACTGATTCCCTTTACTGCCATCTCCAACAATAAGCACTTTTTGACATACCTTTTGTTTTCCTGGTGGATGCTTTGTCCCTTGGAGCTTTGGGGATGGATGTGTTGGTCTTGCCTCACTGTTGATGTTTGAAGGCGAAGTTTCACTCAGAGGCTCAGGCAGGAGTGCAGAAAATCTGTTTTTCAGTGGGATTCCCACAGAGTCAGAATGTTTTGAGGCTCGGGCAGGTTGCTTTGTCAGTGGGAGCGGGGTTGATGGAGGCGTTTTGGTTGCAGCTGCTTGTTTGTCTTTCTTTGGCGGAGCAGGTGTTGAAGTTGAAGGTGGGTTTTGGCTCAGAGCCGGCCACGCTGATTCGTCCAGGTGCGGGGTTCTCCCTGATAATCATCTCATTGGATCCACAGTGCGAGACTCCCGTTTCGGCTTGGCACCCAGAGTGTTCCAGGGTGAGCTGCTCGGTGCAGGGTGCACAACCTCTCCGTTGATTTGAGGAGGGGTTGTTTCATTTCCACAGGTAGCGTTGATCTCAAAGTTCACCTCCAGCAGTTTAAAAGTTTAAAAGTTTAGCATTTCTATAGACTGAAGTCATTGTAAAATACTGCTCATGTCCTTGGGGTCAGCCGGAGGTATTTTGCCCTGGTTTAACTTGGAGGTAAAGAAAAGTAAGGTAAAAATAAAAGTAAGAAAATCCCCCAGTCCTTAGGTTTGGAGTAACACGTCACTCGTTGGTGGCCAACTGCGCATGTGCGTTCAACGAGAGCTGCCGAATGATGCCGAGTTTTCTGCTGGTCATGCAGATGCGTTTTGCTCACTCATAACTCTAAGAAACATAGAATTGGACATTTTTTAAAATCTTTTTTTGCCCTTAAACTTGAGAGCTGGGTAAAATTGACCCAAATAGTATCTATGTAAACAGTACATAGATAGTTGCAACTGTGTAAAATGAATGGATTTCCAATTCATTCATGTAGAGTCCACCTATTAAGACAAACAGAAAAAGTTTCATGCAAAACAAAAAATACTTCCCACTATTTAAAAATTTTTTTGTTTAAACTTTGGTCAATTTGACCCACAACATAAGAGAAGGGTAAATCAACAAATGTCATAAATATGTGTAGAGCTGCACCGATTGCAGTTGTCTGGAAAATTTCTGATTGACGATCTTTAAAAAGCCTGACCTGCTGATTATGATTTTGGCTGATATTATTTTTTTATTGTCTGAAATGTTGCTAAATTTACCAAGAGGTTGCTGAGCTGGCAACAGTGGGGTGAATATTGTTAATTGCACCTCTCACTGCAGGGAAGAAGAGGACAGAGACTTGCCCTTTGCCCTTTGCTCATTTTCATCAGTTGATGAAAATAAGATCAGGGGATAAAATGGCTTCACATGTAAGTATCAGCAGATCACGAACCCCAAAAATTAAGGAAATCGGCACCCAGAAATCAACTGCTTGATAAATCACTTGGCCAATAAATGTATGTAATGTAAAAAGCACTACCAGAGATAACAGGTATGTGAATGATCTAATGATCAGACTGCTGATTGCAGCCAGTCCACATTGTCAGCAGAACTAGAGGGCCCCAAAATCAAAGTTTGCTTAGAGTCCCGTGGAGGCTTGGGCCAGCACTGCTTCAGAGTCACATAAAGTTAGTTACAAAGTTGGCCTTCTATCTCACCTGAAAAACATTTCTAGGATTACAGGGCTAGATCACAACAGTGTCTTCAGTTGTTTTAAATGAAAAAAGGTAATCTAAACATCTTTAAAAGATTTTTAGATTACAGCTGGATTATTTACTGTAATCCAGCTGTACTTTGACCAAAGCATGTCACAAATATTTTGTAAGTCCTTAGGAACTTACCAAACCTGGGCCATCGTGTGACAAAGACAGAAAACACATCTCTTTTAAAACTAGCCACAACATTTTGGCCTTTCAGACAGAAAGTGAGAACAAAACAAAAGGTGTGTACAGAGAGGCCATGAACAACAAGGTGGAAGTTTTTGATATTACTGCCAAATCCAATTTCTCCTGATCCATCTTTTCCGTCATCTTATTACTGTAATGTAAGTTTTCATGCCAACGAGAGATAGGGTCCTTTTTGTAATGTCAGAGGAGGGCAAGAAGGCAGCGCTATCTGTCTAAAATAGAGCTTAACGAATAGCTGAGCTGTACATGCAAATAAACTTAACAATGTCCTGCTGGGAAAAAGTTTTTTCTATAAGTATAAGTCACTCATAGATTGATTCTTCTTTCATTTCCTACATCCCCTCTCTCACACCCAATGTGTAAATGACCTTAAAAATACTTTAGCAAACAATAATGATTGGTTTAGCGGTTTGCCATTTCAAATTAGCAATGGGAATTGCTGTAGGTGAGGAAAGATAAAAAATTCAGCTGTAAAAATCCTGAAGGAGTAGTTAATGATGTTGAATAAAACAGAAAGTGTACTTCTTTCGCATATTTCCAATCATCCACCTGAGGCTATAGTAGGCCTTCCTCTCTGTGCTGCTCTGCACTGTGTATGCTGCCTTTGTCGCACACTGTTTACTATAACAACAAGGTAGCCCACAAACTCCGACCACAGTTCATTCAGGATTCCAGAGAAGTTGGTGGGATTGAGCAGAAACCCACCCAAACAGGCTGGTCTTCCCCAAGGATTTTTCCTGAGCAATGTTTGATTTTGGGACCGCTGGTATTTACCCCAAACATAACATATAGTTTGGAAACACACAAATAGGACACACACAAATAGCACATTGATACCAACACAGGATCATTGCTCATACAGGGAATCCATTGCAGTACTCTGTCACTACTTAGCAATATTAAAATAGTACATACATGTTAGAATTGCACCGTTTAGGGTGGGGGCACATTGGAGTAGCTCTGTATTTTAATTAAGATTAAATAAGGGACAATTTACTTTTTTGGATAACTGTTCCTTCTTATTTTGAATGCTGTTTAATGTGACTTAACTTTTGGCAATAATTTTCATACTTTGCTATTTTATTATGCATAACCAGTCACAGGGTAGTTTAAATTCAGTTCAATTTAAAAGTTCTCTATTGATCCATGAAGAAAATTAGATGTTGTAATTCATATTAATTAAAATTCTTCAAGGAGTTATTGGCAGGAAAGATTTTTAGCAATCTTTATTACAGTGAATGTGAAGAAGTCTCTGACTGAAAACACTTTGTTTTCCCAATACATTCTCATAAATATGAAGAGGCTAGTCATGGTTATTCATAATTTTCTTTATTTTATGAAGAATTCTTCTTTGCATCATCATCTCCAGGAGTTCCACAGTCGTCCACAAAACAGAACCAGCTTAGTTTGGTTCAAACCAGTAAGCTGGTGTAACGTAGGGTGTATTCACACCAACCCACGATTACATTTCTAATCCGTTTGTCTAGAAAGTCCGAGTTTTTGGGAAGGCCTGAATGGAAAATTTAATTCCAAAACGGACTTAAAAACCGAACTCTGATCTTCCTAAAACCTAAGTTTTGGTCCGGTTGAAGTGGACTCTGAAACGGTAGACAACCTATCTGAATGCAACCTGACTAGAGACCTTTTCAAAAGCAGAAAGTTAGCTACTGTGCAGGACATTCTGGTCAATATATTACTCTCTACTCTACGGGTTAATGAAGATGCCATGTCAGTTGCCATATCAACAGGTTTGCGTGCCAACACTAAGCAAGAAAAAGCAGAATATAAATAGTTTGAAGTTGTTTTACAACTTTTTAGTAGCTAGCTAAAAAGCACTTATTGTAAACAGGACTTATTGTCCTATTGCCATGACGCTCTGCAGCTTCTGTCATTTTTAAACCTTTAATAAATGACAAAAACTGAACTAATTACTTCGTTTGTTTGAAAATAATCATCAAATAGGATGTAGGAAATTGCTTAGTCCTTCCTTGCATCTTGATAGAAACCAAACTGTTTATATATTTATATCAAGGGAGTATAATTACAAACATCAGCAATTTTCTCAGCTTTAATTTAAGCCAGGTTTATAGAAATCGGGTAAGAAATAAAGGCGCTGCAATCATTTTTGTGATTCCTGCTCATCCCGCATTGAAATAGCCTGGTTCAGTGGACTGACTCATTGTGTAGTAACAGCGCCTGCAGAAGAAAGTTGCACTGGCACTCTTCAGAGGTTTTGTGATAATTCCTTCAGTAGCTTTTGGTGCAGGCGATGGCGAGAACAGGTTTTCCAGTTAGTTTTAGTCGTTTGACACAGTGCAATGTGAATGCGAACTCGAGTTCTGAAAATGTGACATGTTGCAATTCTAGACCCCAATCGAACTGAGTCTAAAAGACATTAGCGGGGGAGACGCTAAAAGTTGGTGGACCACCTGTTAGGCGAGGAGAAAAAGATGCAAACAGAGCAGTCGGAGGAAGACAGCACCTCTCTGTCAGATGCCTCCCAGCCTTCCAGGCTACTAGACTATCTCGTTTGATTACACCCAAACTAAGTAAAACTAAAACATCAATCTTGAAGGAAGCTCCTTTTTCTGTTGATATGAAAGTCAATTTCTGTTCAATCAAAACTAGATGGCACAGTTTAACTTTTAGAGAAAATGTGCACCAAGGTTCATGAAAACATAAAAAATTTTGACTGTTCCATTCAAAATAAATAAAAACTGTTATTGATAACTAATTAACAGATACTCCATTAAATAAATACTTGTCACCATAAAATAAAAGCAAGATAAATGTAAATGAAACTATTTTTAATGGGGAGCTTATTTTGTCAATTACCATTTCATTTGTTTATTTTCAAGATTTATTAATGTAATTATTTTATTATTCATTTATTTCATAATGATGTTTTATTTTGTGACACTTATTCTGAAAGCTACTTCATGGACCTTTAATTTATTCTGTATTTAGGCCATGTTTAATTTACCGTATTTTCCGGACCATAGAGCACACCTTACAATAACCTGCACCTAAATTTAAAAAAGAAAAAACTGGAAATATACATATGTGAGCCGCACCAGGCTATATTTCCGCTACTGTTGGATTTTTCAAGGCTGCGTCCTTAATAAATCTTCTATTGAGGAAGCAGCCCTCCGTCTCCAACGCTGAACCATGGATTCATTCATGCCAAGTTAGCACAGGAGGCTCTATTTCCCTCCTGTGCTGCCACATCGATAGCGCTCAACTTGAAAGCTACATCATATGTTGTTTCCATGATGAGGGGGTATGAGTTTGAAAACATTTCTCCGCTGTGCTTGTTTGAAATGAAAAGTAGCGCTTTCTTCTTTTGACTTCCACTGATTCACTTCCTGCTAAAGAGCCCTGGGGCAGGTGAAGAAAAATCCACAGAAAAGCCACACGGGGCTGTAAGTCGCATGGTTCAAAGCATGGGAAAAAAGTAGCGGCTTGGAGTCCAAAAAATATGGTACTTGTATTCACATGAGTTATAAATGTATCTAAAAGCATTAGTATTAATGTTTACTAATACTTACTAATATTTAGCACTGTGGGTGGGTGTAGATTGTCAACAAATGAGCATTTTACCCTTAAAGCATATTCTATTCTATTCTAAGAAAAACAAAGACCAAAAAAATGTTTTTGTGTTATTATAAAAAAAGACTTATTTTTCTATCTAAAAAAAGAACATTTGAGGAGACTCTTATTTAGTTTTTTGTTCTTTCTTTAAGTCTTTCCCTTCTTTTGATTAATTCTTGTATGCTTTAAGGTCCAGAGGACATCTCCAGCATAAAATAAACTAGTATAAAGAACCTGATGTTAGAAGTATGGAGGTGGAAATATAAAGGTTATTGACCTATCCATAATTGTGATATTATAGTATTAATACTTGAGCTTGAGGAAAACATGAGAACATGTGAAAAATAAAATTTAAGCTGAAGCATAAATGAACAATGACCAAAACACACTAGTAACATACTGACAAAGGACTGGTTGAAATACCTCAGAAGGACAGTTGTGGACTGAAACATAAAATCTGTGACTTGATATTGGGAAGATGCTGTAACTAGAAAAAGGCAGGGAACCCTTCAGGGTGGGCACCCACCTTGGGTCATGTAGACCAGGCTTCCGGTGAGCAGAGCCACACAGTTTGTGGGCTGATGATTGTGCAGGTACTGGAACCCCCAGCCACGTACATAGGACTTCTCGTACATCAAGCGAGATGCATTGCCTATAACCTGAAGGAAGCGCTCCTGTTGGCCTTTGTTCAAGTATTCATACAGGAAGTCGTAGGCTGTGGAAAATCCAACCAGCGAGTGTGCCAAAGGAACTTCATCCCAGGGGGCGTCCTTCACCAACCTGTAGTCCATACACAGGGGAAAGTTGGAAGATAGCTATCAGACATACAAAAAGCAAGAACACAGAGATGTCAGCAGGTTTTCCCTTCTTTCAATAAAGTCTTAGACAATGATTTGACATAAATAGGTAAACTTTACCATTAATTAACACATTGAAAGCAAAAACACTTTAATAAGCCTTTTCACCCCACACCTGCACCAATAAAGACACAAAGAGAGAATCAAGATGCAGAGTGAGCAAAATTTATTTTTCTTTACACAGGCTAGACTCCCAGAGCATGAGGTAATGGAATTTCAAACGTGCTGTCTGCCTGGTGATAAGAAGCATGTGATGTTGTCTAATCATTCTGTGCAGGCTGATTAAAAAGAAATGAGCATGAGATGTGACTATGAAAGTGGTGACCTCATATAAACATTATCTGACTGCAATGGATCAAACAGATTTTTTTTGGGGATATACATGGCTCATAATATTATATACTTCTTTTTTTATTTGGTTTTTGCTCTGAAATCTTTCCTGGTGCTTCAAAAATAACTTAAAGTTTATTTTTAATTTAAGTAAAAAGACTTTTCCAAAGGAGCTGGTTGTTCACACAGTCCTATGTCCAAGTGCAACATTAAGTGGAAGGAAAAGCAGAGCAGTGAATTTCTGGGCGCCGATTTCTTTCATTTTGGGGGATTGTGATTGGCCAATACATACATCTTATCCCCTGATCTTCTTTTCATCAGCAACAATTTATAAATCAGTCTCTCTCCTTTTCTGCTCTGCAGTGAGAGATGTGACTGAAACCAGGTCAGGTCTGCACATTTGGAGTTAACAATATTCACCCCACTGTTGCCAGCTCAGCGACCTTTTGGTAAATTTAGCAACATTTCAGACAAAAAAAATAAATTCAATCATTCATTCATCCATCCATCCATAACCTGAAGGAAGCACTCCTGTTGGCCTTTGTTCATCCATCCATCCATCCATCCATCCATCCATCCATCCATCCATCCATCCATCCATCCATCCATCCATCCATCCATCCATCCATCCATCCATCCATCCATCCATCCATCCATCCATCCATCCATCCATCCATCCATCCATCCATCCATCCATCCATCCATCCATCCATCCATCCATCCATCCATCCATCCATCCATCCATCCATCCATCCATCCATCATCCATCCATCCATCCATCCATCCATCCATCCATCCATCCATCCATCCATCCATCCATCCATCCATCCATCCATCCATCCATCCATCCATCCATCCATCCATCCATCCATCCATCCATCCATCCATCCATCCATCCATCCATCCATCCATCCATCCATCCATCCATCCATCCATCCATCCATCCATCCATCCATCCATCCATTGTCTGCCGCTTATCTGGCATCCACCTATAAATCAGATATAAGGGGCCAGACTTGTATCATTAGCATTTCAATTCAAATGGCAATCTGCAATGCAAGATATTATGCTTAGCAATATTTTTGTAGTGTAATTTTTGCCACTTAAAATGGCATTGCAATTTTAAGTAGCAATCACCCCCAAACTGGAGCAATGGCTACAACAGATCCCATGTGTCTCATTAATGTTTGGAGATGTTGGCAGGTATGATCTAGTCTTAAGATTCTGTTTCAAACTGAGTTCATACACCTCTGGAAAAAATTAAGGGTCTCTGATTTTACTCTTATATGTTTGAGTAAAATGAACATTGTTCTTTTATTCCACGACTCACTAACATGTGTCTCTTAGTTTCGTTTGTGAATATTTGTAAATAAGCAGTTAGATTTAGAAAACGCACTAACGAATATCTTCTCATGGGTCTAAGCCCTGCTGGGGGCTAAGCACTCCTAAAAGTTCAATCCTAGAATCGCACCTGTCTTCAACATACAGTCATCAATGAGGCTCTAATAACAGATAATGGCCAGAGGAATCCCCTGGTAGACACGTTACTGATAGTGGAAATTACTTATAATTACATAAATAAAATAGCACATCTAGGGGGCCAAGGGGCAGCCCCCGCTCTAGATGAGTTTAACAGCAGGGGCATCTGCTTGTTTTGGGGAGGCAAAATTAATACGTAGCAATAATTATATTACTCAAGTGAAAGAAAAAAAAACTGTAAAATACTTTTATCAGCACCTTTTTCCAAAAAAGTTACTCAAGTGAGTTTAACAACTACTACCCACTTTGAACATAGACAACATCAGTAGCCTAATGTGATAAGCTTATTGTGAGATATTGGTATTAGCTAACATACATGCATCCAGCGGCGTTACCTGCCGGATGCAGCGCAACTTACTGCATCCAGCAGCAAAGTTCTTTGCATTTTGCTGGTTGGGGGTGGGTCACGGCTGACTATGTGGGCGGGCAATGTCCCCAAATCTCCGTCAATGCCACCGGGCCTGCCAGGGGGGGTTAGGACCTCTTCCTCATTCTTGCAATACACTGTCCGCCTGTCGCCACCCCAGTACTCAACGGTACGTTAGCACCCCTCCACCATCCACCATCTCTCCTTCTTCGAACCCCCCCACCTCGTTCCTCCCACACCACAATTCCCTCGGCCCACATTCTCGCTCTTTCCACCTTGCTCTGACTGCAACAGTGGATGACTAAAAGTTTCCAGTATTCTCTCAGATCCAAAACTTGTCAGCGGTCTTAAGGCCATAATCATCCACTCCCATGAGTTGTGAAGTTCTGCTGAAGAAATACATCCAATTTTGACTCGTTCTGACAACATGTCTTTCTGTGGCTCTCTGTTAGTGAGAAAAAGTCCTGTAAACACTATTACACATGAGGCTGCACAAAGCTTGACTTTGACCCTGAACCGGCACACACATTACTCTTAGTTACGCATGCAGCTGGTGGATTCATGTCAAAACAAACTTCAAAATGTCTTATATTCTTATGACAGGATATGTGTTGGCTAGAAATCGGTGGCTTTAGATTTAGTTTCCGAGTTGACCAGTCAGAAATATTCCAGAAAGTATGTCAAAATAAGCTCAATTCACTCTCTGGATATTATTGACTTGGAAAAAGATATTTCATAACATTACTGACCATTACTGCCCAATAAAAGCATCATAAAGGACCGCCAGCAGAGTTTAAAACCTTAAATCTCAGCTTCTGAAAATACAGTGGAAAAATGGCACCAGGCGTTCTGGTGTGGGTTAAGGGGTTTAAATTACTTTTAGGAGTATTACTATTACGCTGTACTTTTTGCTTTACCTGTTTTATGAAGTATTGCTCTTCTTACTTGAGTAAACTTTCTGGATTCTCTACCCACTGAATGAAAAACAAGCATGTTTTAACCAAAAATTGACCAGGCAAAGACACACACCTACAGTTTTTGTTAAAGTTTCATAAGTTTTAAATTGAAAGAAACTGATTTGGAAAAAAAAAATTATTTGACCTGATTCTATAATATTTTGTTACTTATATAAATTGTTGTATTTTTTGGTTCTTAAAGTAACATTTCCACTTAGCTTTATCATTTGATACATTTGGTTATGTAATTTTAAAAAATTATATAATTGATAATTTCATCACTTACTCAGTATATGAGTACTTGATTTTTATGTTTACCAAATGCTCTTTTACTCTTACTTGAGTAATTTCTTGAACAGCTACTTTTTACTTTTACTTCAGCAAAAATATCTTGTGCTATTCTAATTTGAGTAAAACATTTTTGTACTCTACCCAAAAAGTAATTTACCATTTACTCTACCCACCTCTGACTATTCAGCTCACATCTGAACATTTCATTTCCTCTCTCTAGAGGAGTGGGGGAGGGGATGTACAGCAAACAGCTGCTCAACATATTTCCTGAACTACAGCTTTATCTGCCCCAAAAGAAGCTTTACTATAGTTTTGCCCACAGAAGCACATGAGAACACCCTGGAGACTATGACAGGAGACTATGGAGAAGACATCTTCACCACCTCCAATCCTTTTCTGAACCAGACATTCTTTACTCTAATGCTCCAAAACCAAAACTTAACTCTACCCCATAATCCTAGCCTTTACACCCAACCATGTCCTGTACCCTGTTACCTGTAACCTTCCCCTTAACCCTAATGCTAAACCCAAACTACAGTGGTATGTGATTAGTTGTATGTCAATAGCAGATGGCCAGTTGTGAACCAGAAAAGGAGTCGGACAAGTTTACTGTTGCATATGTGTCAGCTGGAAAGAATGTCTTGAAGAATCAGAAAGCATTGCTGAGAGACTTATTACTGGGTAAATACAAAGAAGCAAGGTGGATACCATTTAACAATCATTTTCAGAGTGACCACACCTTTATACATCAGTTCATATCTCATCGTTATAAGTAAATTAAAACAGAAAATCTACCAACTAGGCTGAGCCGCCATCCTCTCCATGTAGTCCTTGGCCAGGTCGAGGGCCCCAGCCCTGTGCGGGTATAGCAGGCAGAACATAGACAGCACACCCAGATTGTTTCCATAGACCTCATTCCAGCGGGCGGTGAATTCTGTGGGGCTCCAAGGGGGCAGGTACTCCTCTGGATGCTCCAGCATGGTCTCCCCGGCTTCCCGGATCCTCCTGGCCATCTGCCGATGAGTTCCTGCTGCTGCGTACTGTAGCTCCTCCACATCCCCACGGCTGAAGTACAACATGGGATGACTGTCATAGTTGCCTCCCATGAAGGGAATTCCCCCAGCAGGGTCCACTTCAGCTGCAGAAACTGGAGCAAGCAGGGGCCACAGCAGACTTATGAAGAACACTGTGGGGGCCCCACGGGTGTGGGTTCTCATCGTCTCATCAGAGAGGGGACTGCTGCATTGCCAAAGGAGTTCAGCTGAGAGAGAAAAGAGAATTAGGGAAAGCCAGCCAGAGTTTTTGCACAAAAGCCCTGCATTCCTTGAATAATGAGATCCAGCTGTAGGCCTGATGATGCAGGCTTTCCATACTCATATCTGCCATTACTGAGCTGTGTCATAAATGCCTGCAGATACATTATTCCGATTTAGACAAACAAACCTTAAATCACAATGGCCCAATAGTTCTGCTCGGAACTATTGGGCCATTGTGAATTCCATAACATTTCAAGTTTTGGCTCAGTGGAAAAGTTTAGATGGAATCCAAATGATTTTAAGACAGGAGTCAGGAATCCCACATCAAATGTTAACACAGTATGACATGTAAGGCTGGTATTTCTCTTCAAGCTAATTTGACATTTGACCCCTGAAGAGATTACATTCCTTTGTGGTGAACATGAGGCTGAAGAGTGCAGATTAATTTATCACACTGAAGTATGACTGGGAGGTTAACCACACCGAGTTAAAATGACTGGACAGATCTCAAATTAGGTAACTAAAAAACAGCTACATTCATCCTTGTAGATGGTGAGAGATTTAGTTATAGGCTTATTAAAAAAGGGTCAATTTTCTGTCAATTCGATAGACAGTTTTCTGTCAATTCAATTATTTTCTGTCAATTTAAATGGTTCAAGATTTGCCCTTAAAAACCAACATATTTAAATATTAGACTTGTATTCAAAAGATAGTAAATTTGCAGCCACTACCCGTAAAAGACTAAAAAAGCTTTATTCACAATGCTGCGGACTAAAATCTTTGTAAATTGCTAAAGAATGAGCTAAAAAACAATTAGATTGTACAATACTTCAATACTGATAATGCAGTCCCAAATATGTATCTTGAGCTTTGTTACTCTTTTAAAATGAATGTGTAAAGCATATTTTCACAGAATTCGTGGGAGGGAATGAAACACTATTATATTGCACAAGGTTCCAACTAAGTCAATCCCCCATTTTACGCCTAAACATTGTCATTTTATTCATTCCTACTTTTATTTCATACCTGTTTCAGATCTATATACTCAAATCAGAGCCTACAAGAAGATTTTCTTCTAGTAGACCATGAGTATAACTTTAAAAAGTAATTCAAATATTTTTAGTCAAAGCACTTTTGTTGTTCTCCAGGGAAAAACAACAAAAAGTGCGAGAAAACAAAAGGTCCACCACATTTAATTAAGAGCTTTGATGTTGTGTTGATTCTGACAGTGAAAAGAAAACTAGCACTGCTTCACTGAATTTAGGTATTAATTTTAAAAACAGAACACAAAAAGGTGAAATTCACAGACTTTTCCACTTAGTACATTGAAATAACCTGAACCCCTATCCAAATATGGAAAAGCAGCATTCAGCCTCGATGCACCACAAATGTGCAACAAACATCCAGAAAACTGCAAAACAGCCCGAACACTGAGTTGCTTTAAATCAAGACTCAAAACATACCTGTTTAGATTTGCCTTTGAATTGAATAGTGTATTGAACATATCTCTACATATTTGATGTGCATTTGCTTGGTGACTTTGATGATAGCATTGGACAATTGCTTGTTTCATAATAAATGACAATATGCTGTTTTTATGATTATCTTTAAAAACAATCTGTCTTTTGAAATTGATAAAAAAGGAACTTTTGACTTTGACTATAGTGCATAACCTATATAAGTTGGCTTTAGTTCTTGACATGGCTGTCATAGGTCTGATGACCTTTGTCGCATGTCTTCTCCATTTTTCATCACTCACCTCCAGTCAAACTAAGATAAAGGTCAGAGGAGCCAAAATACTTAAAAAATATATTTATTTGTTACTTCTTTATTTCAAATAAACTAAATAATTTGTGTAAGAGTGACTTAATGTTGTCAAGTTAAATCTAACTTAATTTATTAAGTTGGATGAACTTAATTGAATTACTAGTTACCAATTGAAAGTTGGAGAAAGTTGAATTCAGTTAAGTTGGTTCAACTATTTTCTTTTGTCAGTATTGGACATCCAATTACTTTGTTTTACTCAAAAACAGACATTGGTGCTTCCAAATATACTTTTTTTTATTTTAGATTTTTGTGGTGTAGGTGACCATTGTTTGTCTTCCTGTCAAACTAAAGAGATACCAGAGACTACTGTGTTGATGATGCAACCTTTGTCCAAGCTGCACATGCTCTACAAAGCATGAATGGTTTCATCTGCTTTTTAAATTAATTTCTTCAATTTGGTACCAAAAATTGTTTGCTTCTTTAAAATATTTTATTCTTAGTTTAATTTTGAAAACATTTGTAAAATGTTCAGTGTAATTCTTTGCATATTTTCCATTTGTATTACTTTTTTTTAGCTCTATATTATTGTTATTAATAATAATAATAACAATATAGAGCATGTCTCTATTACATTTCATCTATCAATCTATATATAAAAAAAAAATATATATAAATATAAAAAACCCCAGCAGGATTTAAACCTGACATTGAATCTCGCTGTCTTCACAGGTGGATCACCTACAGGGTTACTACAGTTCTCTTGATTTTTCTTGCACATTACTTTTCTATCTATCTATCTATCTATCTATCTATCTATCTATCTATCTATCTATCTATCTATCTATCTATCTATCTATCTATCTATCTATCTAGATCTCTAGATCTATCTATCTAGATCTATCTATCTATCTATCTATCTATCTATCTATCTATCTATCTATCTATCTAGATCTCTAGATCTATCTATCTAGATCTATCTATCTATCTATCTATCTATCTATCTATCTATCTATCTATCTATCTATCTATCTACATCTATCTAGATAGATCTAGATACATCTAGATACATCTATCTAGATAGATCTATCTATCTATCTAGATCTATCTATCTATCTATCTATCTATCTACATCTATCTATGTAGATAGATAGATAGATAGATAGATAGATAGATAGATAGATAGATAGATAGATAGATAGATAGATAGATAGATAGATAGATAGATAGATAGATAGATAGATAGATAGATAGATAGATAGATAGATAGATAGATAGATAGATAATTCCCTTCTCACCCACCGCGGGTGGTTCTTATCCTCTGAGCTCGGGTTCTCTTCCAGAGGCCTGGGAGCTTGAGGGTCCTGCACAGTATCTTTGCACATTTCTGGACTGAGATGTCTGATGTTGTTCCTGGGATCTGTTGTAGCCACTGCTCCAGTGTTGTTGTTTTTTAACTAAATAACCAAAACCACGATGAATACCCGACTTCCCGGCATCGGTCCTCCGGTTCCACCGTGGACCAGAACGGCACTAAACAGAACTACTTGTTCCATGAGACGCCGTCCCTTCCACCGCTGTCTCCCCACCTTTTCTTTCTCCAACTGTCATCTTCTTACTGCCTTCTTTCTGAGACTCCATTTTTAACATCTCATACCTTTACCACTCTCCGGGACTTTTCAGTTTCAAACTAACCACTCAGGCAAAAGCAACCCAACACTAGGCCGAGATCGTGTATTGGTAAGCCGCATCCACAGCACACAGGCAGCCCTGCTCCCGTCGACCAGGAAGAGCCTTCTGCAGTAGAGAAGGAGATCTTGGTCAATTTACCTGTCAGAAGAAAGCACGAAGCCCAAAGCCCGACCACGAAGCCATGTTCCCCCGTCGCTGCAGATGCGACTCCAGCTGGATCACGATAGATTGGATCAGTGTTCGGAAACGGACCGAAGTTACGGAGTGAAGGAAAGTCTGAGAGAGGGAGGGGAAGGAGCTTCGTACTGGGGAACGAGGAGGGGCAGCAGGGGAGAGAGGCTTCATAAAGATCTGATGGAGGAGAGTGGGAGCCCTCCTCCCATGGTCCACAACTAAAGCTGCTCACTTACTATGGATTTAGTCAAAAACATCCAAAATTTTCTTCAATAACAATAATTAACTTGGTAAAAGTTAACTTGAATCTGAGTTTATTACGCAAGTTATAAATATACATCTGTGTTACTCTGAGCAATATTAATGTTGGTTTGTTTCTTATTTTTTCACTACTTAAAACAACTTAAAGCTGTAACATTTAAGAAATATGTGTGTATCAGTATGTCTTGGCAGTAAGACAGATCATTTTTGAGAAAAATTGAGCTTCTCTCCCTGATTCCTACAATCCTACTGCCATCTGCAAAATACACTCTTCTGTTCAGAAATAAACAGAGCAAGGAGGGTATTGCTGCCACTCACCATGGTATGAGCATTCCTCAACGGAAGTACTGTAGATGCATCTCTTTAACTTCTCTTTCCCCCTCTTAACAGAGAATGTCTGCTTACATTTCAAAAGCATCATCATTGATCACATTACAGTTTCAATAACTAACCATAGTGGTTTTTCAGTTTATATGTATAGGGAAGGCTAAATGTTGATGTGACATTAAATCTAGTGAGTTCATCCCTAGATAAACGAGATAGAGTTTACTTCACTGAAAACAGATTGTGACGATGCGGTGCGAGGTTGGAGGAGTTAAGGTGGTGGTTAGCCTCGCTAACCCGAAACAGCAGGAAACACTGTTGTTGTATTCCACAGTTTTCGGTTTATTTCTCCACAGGCTAACATCATAATCTCATGCATGAGAAACATAACGAGAGGCAACCACCCGCACCTCGCCATCACCGATCATCTCGACAACAACTGAGAGAGAGTTCTTACTCTGTCCAACCGCACTACAATGCAAAAAGGGAATAGGCGCCCCCTTGTGGTGAGACACACTAAGCAATATAGTGACTTGTTACAAGTTTAGTCCACGCCCACCTGCTCCACCTGATCTGTTTAAATAACGGTCAGATCGGAGAATCGGATCCCTTTTATTCTTGAGGTTAGCAATAGCAACATTATCTTGTAACGGTTTCATCCGTTTGTGCCCATTTTGTCATAATGTATGTCCTCGCAGGACATACATTATGTCCTGCAGGACATACATTATGTCCTGCGAGGAATGCCAGGGCTCTCAGCTCGCTGGCCTCACCTCAATGCCTCAGCACTCTTGCCGCTTCTGTGCTCTCCACTTAAAGGCTGGCACTAAGGGGGTAGGGGGGTGAGGTCGCTGCTCGTGGGGCGATGGTTACGGGCTCAGCTGCTCCTCGGCTAAGGGGGAACTGAGGCCAGATTGAGCCTTGTTTATAGGCTGTATGTGCACAGATAAGACCTCTGTTGGCTATGGAGGGAGGGCAGACGCAGCTGAGAGCAAAGGGATGTATGGAGTTAAATCTGTTTCAATCACTAAAACATAATCTCAATTTTAAAAAATGTGAAAAAAAATCAAAACTTCTGGAATAGTAGTTTTTTTAATTGTTTGAAAAACTATTTTTAAATTAAAATTACTAACTTTTGTCTCATAAAGTTAAAAAGTTATTTACAAAATCTTTTATTTGCACATGTCAGAAATCTTTGATTGCAATTTTTTATTTTTTAGATGTGCTTCTAAAAGTTTTGCTTGTAATTTTCTCATGAACATCCTGGTGGGGGCCTAAAAAAGAACATGTCCCTATTGGTTAGCGGTGACTGAAGCAGGTGACTCTGATGCTCTGCCACCTCAGAACTTCAGAGCTTGATGCTTCACTTTGGTGATGAGACACAGAACGTGAATAGTAAGCAATCTTTGCAAAATTATACCGTTAACGGTTACTAAAGTGTCCACCCTTTTTTAAAAGAAATCTTACACAACTTGTTACGAGAGTCATATATCTTGTATGCCACTGTTCCCGTTATATTGTGCTAGCTAATGTTAGCATTACGTAAAGTGCATAAACTAGGCTTTTATAATATTCACCTGTCTTTATGTTGAACTCTTTAACCAGCGCACTTTTGTCGTGTTGCATTAAGTGTTGCAAAATATCAAATGTAATCTGCACCACCCATGTCAAGTGACTGTACAAACATATTTTTTTATTTAACAAGCACATAAACAGTGCTGTGGATGAGGGAAGACAATGCAACTTTTAAATACCAGCTCTGGACTCTGGTCCAACCACACTTGGACCCCTTACAATTTGCCTAAATCAAATCAAATCAAATCAAATTTTATTTGTATAGCACATTTCAGCAGCAAGGCATTTCAAAGTGCTTTACATCATAAACACAAAAACACAAAGTCATGCATCATGGAATAAACAATACATTGTTCCATATTACTTTTCGAATACAATTCTAAACAGGTGTGTTTTTAGTTGAGATTTAAAGGAAGTCAGGGTTTCTGCTGTTTTACAGTTTTCTGGAAGTTTGTTCCAAATTTTTAGTGCATAGATCCTGAAAGCTGCTTCTCCTCTTTAGGTTCTGGATCTGGGGATGCAGAGCAGACCAGAACCAGAAGACCTGAGAGGTCTGGAAGGTTGATAAAACAGCAGCAGATCTTTAATGTATTCTAGTGCTAAACCGTTCAGTGATTTGCAAACAAACAACGGTATTTTAAAATCAATTCTTTTAGCTACAGGGAGCCAGTGAAGGGACTTTAAAACTGGTGTTCTGTGCTGTAGCTTCCTGGTTTTAGTGAGAACGTGAGCAGCAGCATTCTGGATCAGTTGCAGCTGTTTGATTTATTTCTTGGACAGGCCTGCGAAGATGCTGTTGCAATAATCAATCAATGTGACTAAACGCATGAATGAGTTTCTCTAGATCTGGCTGAGACATTAGTCTTCTAATCCTGGAGATGTTCTTCAGGTGATAGATGGCCGACTTTGTAACTGTCTTTATGTGGCTTGCAAGGTTCAAGTCCCAGTCCATCACTACTCCCAGATTTCGGGCCTGAGCGCAAGTTTTTAGTTGTAATAACTGAAGCTATGCATTGATTCTAGATTGTTCCTCTTTAGGTCCAAAAATAATAACTTCAGTTTTATTTCTGTTCAGCTGGAGAGAGTTTTGGCACATCCACACATTTATCTGTTCTAAACATTTATTCAGTGATTGGATAGTTTAGAGTCACCTGGTGACATCGTAATGTAGAGCTGTGTGTCCATCGTAAGTGATGGTAGCTAATATTATTTCCTGTTATAACCTGAGCTAGTGGGAGAATATAAATATTGAATAAGAGGGGTCCTAGTACTGACCCTTGGGGTACCCCACATGTGACCTTTGACCTATTTGATGAGAAGTTTCCAATTGAAACAAAGAAATCCCTGTTCTTTATGTAAGATTTAAACAAGTTGAGCACCGAACCGGAGAGTCCAACCCAACTGTCCAGTCGATTCAGTATTATGTCATGGTCGACAGTGTCAAAAGCTGCACTGAGGTCCAACAGAACCAGCACTGTGGTTCTCCCACAGTCCGTATTTATATGGATATCATTGAATACTTTTACGAGAGCAGTCTTCGTGCTGTGGTGAGCACGGAAATCAGATTGGAAAGTGTCAAAGCAGTTGGTCATCATGAGGCAACTATTTAATTATTTACACACAGTTTTTCAATAACTTTGCTGATGAATGGGAGGTTTGAGATGATATGAGTTATATGTGTGGGTAGGACATCCAGACAGCAAGAGCTTGCCTCCCTTGCATGTTTTAGTGTTGAGTGATAGTTACGTAGTCTTTCTTTATAGATGTCATTATGAACGTGAAGTTGAGTTTTACGCCATTTTTGTTCTGCCCTGTGACAGAGTTGTCTTACAGGTCGAACTGTTTGTTCTTTTCTCCATGGAGATTTCTTCCTACCAGACACAACCTTTACTTTAATTGGAGCAATAGAATCAATAATATATGAAACTTTAGACTGAAAATCATCTACCAACTGATCTACATCATTAAAGTTTAAGGGTGAGGAGGAAGAGTACATTTGATTAAATGTTTCTGCTGTGTTTTCTGTGAAAGAAAGTTTTGTGACAGTAGTTGTTTGTCCAAGTGGGTCAAAGAATAAACAACTTTCAGAGATAACAGCAAATTGATCCGACAGTGCGACATCAGTTGCAGAGATATTGGAAATATTCACACCCTTACTGATAACCAGGTCCAGTGTGTGTCCTTGAGTGTGTGTTGCTTGTTTGACATGTTGTGTTAAACCAAAATTTTCTAAAACATTAGAGAGCTTCTTTGCCCCTCTGTCTTCGGGTTTGTCCACATGAATGTTGAAATAACCAACAATTATTAAACAATCATAATCAATGCATTTGAGAGATAGAAGATCATTCAAGTCAGTAAAGAAATTTTCCACATATGTTGGAGTTTTGTATAAAGTTAGAGTCAAAGTTTGTTTGTAGCCTTTAACCTGAATTCCAAAATACTGAAAAGATGTAAAATGACCCAAAGAGATCTAACTACAATTTATGGTTTTCTTAAATATAGAAGTCACGCCTCCTCCTTTTTTATGTTTTCTATTCTCACTTAAAAAATTGTAGTTAGGCGGCGCTGATGCAATTAGTACAATTTGGTCATTATTGTCATTCAACCATGTTTCTGTCAGAAACTTAACATCAACATTATACTCAGTGATGAAATCATTAATTAATAGAGCTTTAGCAGAGTGATCTGGTATTTAAAAGAGCTACTTTAAGTGGCTTGGAGGCAGAAAGATTTTCAGTCTGAGTTTCGAATTAGGAGCGCTGTATTTCATATTTCTGTTTTTTGTAAATTTTCTTGTAGTGATCCGGACAGGTAATGTCCTGTTCTGCAGTACCCGGGGGCCAGACACATTCTGGCGGAAGACGGGTGTAAAGATAATATCTGGTCCTCGGCCTCAGACCTCAGAAACGCAGAGTGATGGATCTGGGGGCAGGTAGCTTAAATGAAGTGAGATCTTGGAGGTAAAGAAAAGTAAGGTAAAAATAAAAGTAAAAAAATCCTCCAGTCCTTAGGTTTGGAGTAATCCACTTAAGATGTCAATAATGTAAATATAACTATAAAAACTGTCACTTTAAAAATAATTTACAGGCAGAGTTTTCAGTAAGGACGAGAGAGAGCAGGATAAGCTGTTCCTCCTTCAGCAGTGCGTGATTAAATCTACAAGCCTACAAGCCCAAGTTTGGAGTTAAGGATGCCAACATCTTCCTACTGAACCGCGCATACACTCACCTGGCCAGCTAATGTTTGTGTTTTTGTGTTTATGATGTAAAGCACTTTGAAATGCCTTGCTTCTGAAATGTGCTATACAAATAAAATTTGATTTGATTTGATTTGAGTCAACATTGTTGAAGATACTCTTCTGGCAAAGTAAAATAATTAAAGTGGCAAAATAAAATAATCGGAAATAATATTTAAAATATTTGAAAAGTAAAACAATGA